TCCAGGGTTAGGTCACTAGATGGTCTGTTTCTAACAGCCTTTGATCCCCAGTCCATCAGTGTTAGTGTGAGTTCCCTGGAGGAAGTAAACCGCCTCAGAAAAACCTATAGACGTGACCTTCCTCTCTACGATATACCACATGTCTCTAGAAGAAAGAGGAAGCTCACTGGTGTAGACAAAACTGTGTCCCCAAGTGCAAAAAAGGTCAAGGTCAATCCCACATCTGCAAGGGAAAATGAGGACTGTGTTATTACAGGTACAGAAACACCTGCTGCTAGTCTTTCAATTTCCACTCTGTAGATGTACAGTGGCAGGAAGTGCATGCCAAGAGCTGGGCCTCCAATATTGTACACAAACACCAGTAAGACCAGGAGGATCCACTGTCCCCCTCACACGTCCAGACATGCGTAGTGTGAGACGCGTACAGGGAGATGGTAACTGCCTCTTTAGGGCATTATCTTACATTCTGACAGGGTCTGAGGATCAGCATATGGGTGTACGACATGCTATCCTTGACCACATGACAAATAATGCCCAATATTTCCTAGGCCACCATCTCATAGGCTATGGAAGTATTCAAAGTTATATAGCTTCCACAGGTATGGACCAAGATAGGGCCTGGGGAACTGACATTGAGATGCTGTCTTTGGCACACCTGCTCCAGACCGCTGTCTTCTCATACAGCCAGCAGCATGGGCAGTGGCAGCGGTACTCTCCTCATGATGTCGACAGACAACTGATGGATGACATTTACCAGAGGTCTATGTATCTATTGCACACAGGAAACTACTTCAATGTTGTTGGTTCCATAAGGAAGAATTAGTGTAACCACATGTGCCTATACATACCTCTCAGAGCATATTGGGGAAGGAGAGGGTGGGTCCCTGCAATTTAGTTGAGGTGGCTTCCCCATTTCATGCTATAACCACTGTATAAAGTGTGATTTACATGTCCTGTACATGACTTCTGAACATGTTGGGGAAGAAGAGGGTGGGTCCCTGCAATTATATGAGGTGGCTTCCCCAGTTCATGTTCTAACCACTCTCCTAAAGTCTCCAGACTTCATGGAGCTGACTGGTTTCAAGTGTAGGGAAACTGCACTGTCTTTACCACAAGGTTTTAGGGGACTGTAACTGCATCACAAAGTTGAGGTAGCACACTGTTAGAGGTGAATGTCTGTACACTGACAATTGTGTTGTATGCTAACAGTAGTGAATAATCCCTCAGGAAACAGGTCTTAGCTCTGTCAGTAATATGATCCTCCTCCATTGAGGGAGTGCACTGTGCAGTAGCTACACCTGTTGGGATACTACTACATTGAAGCTACACACACTCACCCAAATATCAGTGCACCTAAATAATGAATGCAGTATATTATCAGCACCCTTCCTACATGCACCTTCACATAGTATTCTGAACAAGGTGGTTACTATAATACAGGCTCCTCTTTTTAAAAAAATCTGTTTTCCCCTGGGAAGCTCTCTACCTCTGCAGGTCTCTGAAGGCTGTCATTTTCTGTCTAAGGGGCCTGGTGTCTCCAACGTACAGGGGAGGGTGACTGTCAGGGGAGAGGACATCACTGTAATCAGATTATCTGGCGCCTTGGCAGGTGGGGCTCTGAAGTGTTTTCCCTAGCCCTTATCACTGACTTTTACACATCCTGTGCCCCTATCACCACTGCTGACATAGCTATTGTAAAGCATACTCCTAGCCAATTTGGGTTGCATTCCTCACTCATTTACCATCTTTATCTTCTAAGGTGCTGTCCACTTGTCAGACCTGGACCCTATGTACAAGCTTCTACTACACACCCACTACTCTCTTTGGCCTCCACCTTTTACTTCAGCTGGGTAGATGGACCTCTTCAGAAGAGTGAACTCTCCTGCACAACAAATCACATGCATTGTTGAATAATATTTTGTCTCGCATGCGCCTATATACGAGAGACGCGCGCAAGTGCGCGGAAATTATTACGTCACCCGGCCTAGCTGGGGCCTGGGGGGACCCAGAGCGCGCGCGCGTCATTACTATATAATACGCAGCGGCCCCCCTCGTTCTGCTGCGCGAAAAGGGTGGGGCCGGTGGGCCTTAGCATGCGCCAAAAAAATAAGTGGAACAAGTGGAAAAATCATTTCTTCAAAATGAAGGGGGATGTAGGGATGGCGTAAATTATGAAAAAGGATGCCAACAAGAAGATGCTTTAGCCGACAACAAAAATCATACATCCATCCCTACATCTTTCTTTACTCACACATCCTCTACTGTGATCATTATTATGTTGTGAATTATGTATAATTATATCTTACATAGCTACTTCATGACAGGTAACCACACATTTTAAGGGTGTCTACCGACGCTCTGATACAGAGCAAACGAAAGAAAGATGTAGGGATGGATGTATGATTTTTGTTGTCGGCTAAAGCATCTTCTTGTTGGCATCCTTTTTCATAATTTACGCCATCCCTACATCCCCCTTCATTTTGAAGAAATGATTTTTCCACTTGTATTATTACACCAGCTTGTAAAGTCAATGAATATAAAATTGTTGAAGATCTATAAAGAGTTGCTCTCCAGCTTCCAGGGGAGCTCCCAGTGTTCTGGCCTCTTCAGTGTAGGCAGCCACATCCTCTGCCGTCCATGTCAGCAACTTGAAGTCTGGATGTTGCAATGACTGCAGTACCTTGGCAAAGCTCGGTCTTTGCTCAGGATCTGTATGCCTGATGCAGAGCATACAATTGATGGGTTTACCAGTAATCTCGTAGAAGACCTACCAACAATCCACCATTAGTTTGTAGACAGAGGAGGGACAACCTGGTGGGGGAGCCATTCGATAACCTTCTGCCACCTTACGCAGTACCTAAAGCAGAAAACCATTACGTAGTGCAGTGCTTTTAGTGCCATCTTTGGGATAGTGTAGCTCTTTTTATATGCACATTGAGGGGGAGGGTTTTATTGATGGGCCATTTTTGCTAAGTCCAAGTAAACCAATATGTAGTATTGTTAAGTGATGGATAATGGGCTATCAGAACATTATATACACACAGCGGGCATATGTTGAAACTTACCACAAGAAACTACCTAGACCGTGCACATGTTACTTTGTTTAGAATCGATATTTACTTCCTAGACACTAGCATAACATAATTATATAGCTACCTGCTGTGAATCAGATGGGATGTGTAAGGTCTACTCCCCAGAGACCAGATCTCCCAGACCATGACCCCAAAACTCCACACGTCACAGGCCGAAGTGAACTCTCTCCGTTGGATGGCCTCTGGAGCTGTCCACCTGACAGGTATCCTCCCGGTCCACGACCCAGAGTGAGACTCTGTGTTGCAGAGATGACGAGCCAGGCCAAAGTCTGCAATCTGCTATGCAAGAAGTCTCTTACTGAGCAAGGCAGATAAACAGTCCCAGTGGCCAATTACTATCCACTGCTTTAGGTGTGTGGTCTATGGTAGAGCTATCTTGAATAGCTATAAGCCAATTATTCTGGTATTCTTATAGCTACCATAAGTTGTGGCAACTGCTTTGTAATTATCAAGAGTGACGGTTTTGCTGACCTTGCAAATGTCATCACATGAGATGAGGATGTTCCTTGCTGCTAGGTCTCTGTGTACAAAGTCTCTAGACTGGAGGTAGGCCATACCAGCTGCCACCTGTCTGCAGTAGCTGAGCAGGATCCCAGGACAGTTGACAGACACTTCCTGCCCATGCCTTCTGCACAAGTGACAGACGTTTTAATCTGCTACTCTATTCTGTGACGTATGCAAAGGTGTTTTTATCTTACTTTGGTTTGAGTGATCTTAATTGTCTTTTTAAGTCACCTTTCACAAGAATCTCGAGGACAATCAGAGGCTGTTATGTTAGAAAATCACATGTTAGCATTAAACAAACTCAGCTAGGCATGATCAAGTGCATTGTTTGGGCTGACCATTTTTGTAGTAGTGACAATGCCATGTAGGGATATGATGCTTGGATGTTTGAACTGGCCCATGATGGCTGCCTCCTGCAGGAACTGAATACGTTTCTCCTCTGTGGAGCCATCTACCAGTGACTTGACAGCCACCTCCCTCTCCTCTCCCCCCACACTCCACACTCCCCTCCTCACCACACCAAACTCACCAATACCAAGTCTTTCATCCAAAGTCCTACAGATGAGCACTTGACTCAACAACTTACAGTGGAGAGTGCGCTATAACCTACTCTATGTGGTCAAGGGAGATTTCTCTGACAGTAAGTTCCTTCAGTTGTGATATGAGCTCATCTTCAGAACGGGCTGGTGTAGTGTACTGCCACGCCCCTGGTTCTGTGTCACCAGCACTTCTAGACTTGTGCTGTTGTTGTCTTGTGCACTGAGGACTCTGGTGCAGAAGGGCGTATGAGTGATTGGTCACCACATCTCCGAATGTTGGCTGCACAGTTTTGTTATTTGTGTCCTGCTGCATGGGCGAAGAGTTTTTCCTTAAGGCCACTTTTACACAACTCTTACTGCTGATTTGCACAGATAAACTCACATGACATTGATACAAGTGAGAGTGTTCTCTGGTTATGGGCATACGGAGTACAGACAGAAGAATGAAACTTGCCACTCAATTGTCCACCAATGCCATGTAAACAGATTCCAAAACAACTTTGTTGGCTATAGTGACTAGTATAGTGTAAGCACAATGATGAATGACTCATACTCATCAGTCTTTTACTAGAGTGATGGCATCCCATGTAACAGAGTACAGGAATACAGTGGAACCTCCGAACAAGGGACGATATGGGGCCAACGATTTTGTCCCTTGTAGAGAGGTCTCGGAGGTCAAATAATACACTAAAGTATTAGCATGGTGTTGAAACAAGTGTCCCTTGTAGAGAGGTCGTCCCTATCTCGCAGGGTCCCTTATCGGATACGTTCCACTGTATTCAAACACTGCAAATGATGCCACGTAAAGAGTCCATACATGTACCAGTGAATCTGGATCCTGATACGGATCCTCTTCCACAGAATAATCCCCAGTGAAGTCCGCAGTGAGCTGCAACAAAATATTCATGTTTTTCAGTAGAATCATTCAGTATACACTCACATAGTTCTTAATGGTGGTGGTACAGCCAGTGTGGGTGTGATTTGAGGTCTCCATAATGACCACTGCATCAGATGGATCCCTGTATGAGTCTATGTTAGCAGCAACTGAACAGCTGAGATTTCGAGCTGAAACAGAACTATTCGATGCTCGGTTACTGCCCAGTGATCTCTTAAGCTGTCGTCGATTCTTTCTCTTCCACACAAGGTAGACAAAGAAGGGTATAGTTAGAGCAATGATGACTGGTCCAAGAGCCAGAAATGGCACGGCAGCAACAGGAACACCAATTGTGGGCCCTGCATTCAGAGCTACATGATCCAAACTGGTAGAAACGCTCAGAATTGTAGTAGATGGAGTAGGACGTAAATCTATTGAAATTGGTGCTGGACACAGACTACATATGTCTCGTTGAGAGGGTGTGCAGCATTCACTTGTACAATTCCCAGGATCTGAAAAATAAGTTTTAGCATGTGATGTGACGGCTATACATGTACTATATTATACCTGTCAGTTGAATTCTGGCATCAAAACTGATAGACTCTGGACCCATGTCCTCTACAGCAGATGAATTGAATCGGACATTGCTCAGTTTATCAAAAGCCTGGTTTAAATTTCCTGCACTGAAAGATAGGGGGAAAGGCTGCACCACACATGGCCTTCCACTATCACGCATCCGAATTAGCACGACAAAGTGGTCACCGGCCTTAACTGTGGGTCTTGGATCAGGATAGCTAAAGTCCATGCTGAATATCTGACACGAGGTGCTGCTTGTAATATTTGACTGAGGACTACTGCTGCTACCTTCTACAAGCAGAAACTCATTAGTGCCCATATTGCGACGAAACAGTCCAAACTCCGCATTCCAATTGCAGTTTCTGTCACGGCTTCTACTCACTCTCTTTCGATCCCCATCTTCCTCTTGAACACCAGTAAGTTGAGTGTAAAAGTGAACCTGTAGGCGACTTAGCGTTCCACCGCAGAGGACCTTTGACTCTGTCTCTATAAACAGGTTAGTGTTGGAGTTCTGAGACTGCTGTTCCCTAGATGCGCCGCATGATGTCGCATTAGGATCGTAGTCTCCGAAACAAGTACACAGATCAGAGCATCCACTACCTTTTGGAAAAAATGAGCACTTTAGTAACTTGTCACATTATGGTTGCATAGCTTGCCGCATAGCTGGCTACGTACGCTTGAGCACACGGACCATTAGCACGGCGGAAAACTCACCATCTGCTGCTACAGACAATGCTACAGTATAGCACGTCAGTAGAACATTCAGTAACAGGTAGTGATGCAGACATTTCCCCATTACTGTTTTTTTGCTAAGGCGACAGCGCTAGCGCACGAATATATGCGTAAAACGTGGCGCATGCGCACATGTGCTAACCATGTCAGCAACTGGACGCTGGAGCACTGTTTCATGACTGTTTGGATGTCGGGAAATGTGGGCCTGGACTCTGGCCTCGGGTTACTTTCACAGGCAAACTACCCTATTGCTCAGTCGCCTGCTGGACAGAATTTCGACTCGGTCTCCATAAAGAAAAGGGTGCTCGCGTTCTACTGGACGCCCTGGCCGATAAAGAGAGTGGGATTCGGCGGAGCAATGGAAGACTCATCATCTCCGTCGTCTCCGAAGCAGGTACACCGACAGGTGCATCTGTCATCTTTGGCAGATCCACTCTGATAGAGCTCAGAGTTTTACCGTACGTAACATGCCTTCTTCACCAGCATTACCACCATGGGAAGCAGAATCCTCAGTTTTTGCCTGTAATATTGCAAGAAAAAGCAATAACCAAGCAGTTAGTCTACGAGCCATCATGCATGATACGCGTTGCGACTGCACTGGTAAAGATATGCGCATGCGTAGCCGCGGCTTCGCGCGCGCGCGCAGCAGGAGCTCTGTAGCTAGCCACGCCTTTCTTGGCCGTATCCTCACCGTGCGGTGTACGGACCGTCACGTCCAAAGAAGCGAGAAACCGTTTGCTTCATCTTACTAAAATGGTAACGTACAAATTATGCACTGTATGTTCTGTTAGTCGCATAGGTGGCTTGGCACGAGGCAGGCCAGCTAGTGTCCGAAGCGTTAGGGGGCATTTATTAGAATACTAATCCCACTCCTCAGCTGCGGCGACAGGCGAGGCTACGTCGTGAGTACCTCTACCGTAAGTCACTGGAGGACAAGGAGAGAAGCATCCTCGAGCGGAAGAGAAAACTCAGGGATGCTTTAGAAGGTGAGCAATGGAGTATCACGTTCGTGTCTCGTGATATCTCGGTGTTTCAGGGGGGCGTGTCATTCCCACGGAGCTCCAGAAAGATGCACTGGAACTTAGGAAGGCCATGAAATATGATGATGACGAGAGAGAAGGTATACAGTTTATAGTTCGGAGAAAATACATCATACCGATGTTTGTTGTATATGACAATTCTTCTAATCACCTTACTTACTCCACATCAGTATATACCTCTCTAATGTATCATGACTGGCGAATATAAGTGCCTCCAACTAAATTTTGAAGCCGCCCATACCAAATTTCTGTAGTTTGTGTAACTTGTCCATATTGTGCACCTTACGTCTGGAGCTATCTTCGCCTTCATACTTAGATTTAACTCCAGACTGAAAAAGGAACTGGGTTGGTCGATTAATTGCATTCCACTCATACCTCCCCATTTCCTTTTCCCCTCAGACCTAGCGGCTGCCACTCACATGGACGATGAGTACGTCTGGGCCGGAGTGGAGGACCCAAAGATAGTGGTCACCACCTCACACGACCCCAGCTCTCGTCTCAAACAGTTTGCCAAGGTGAGGGGGGCGGAGTTGTGGCAACTGGAGTAAGGCTGGGTTCACAATAGTATGTTGCGTTGCCCCGTCGCCTTGTGCCGCGAAGATAGGAAATGGATTCTATATACCCTCGCAGCGTGGCCACGTGGCACAGCATGACGGGGCAATGCGACATTTGTGTGAACCCTGTGTTAAGGCTCAAGCTGACTACGCGTGCTGTATTCAATAGTGAAAAGCCCCATCCAAACAGTTAGTTCTACTCTTCAAACTGACTTATTTTTGTGCTACGGGAGGGGCTGGCCAGTGAGGCTACCACATATGTAGGTGTGTGTGTTTTACAAGTCCAGTTTGCGTGTGTACTTCTTGCATCAGTAGCTTGCTTACTCTGTTGCGTGATGGTTTGTGACCTACATTTAAGGCGAGACTGCCATTTAATTTCCTACAAGCATCGTCTTTTAGGAGCCATTACTCTACACGGACGTGTACTCACACACCAAGTTTTGGAAGTGTACACATTTCTGACTGAGAAAACATGTGTGTAGTCACGAAGTTACCAAAAATTATGTGTCAATATGTGCAGGAGCTGAGGCTGATCTTCCCCAATGCCCAAAGGCTCAACAGGGGAAACTATGTCATGTCGCAACTCGTGCAGGCATGCGTCGCCAATGACGTCACTGATCTAATTATCATCCATGAACACAGGGGTGACCCAGGTATATTAATAATGAATGAGGTTCCCTTTGGCCTCCCCCACGATTAAACTGTAATTTAGAAGGTAATATACTATAGTGGAACGTTTTCTAATTAGAGTGGTAGTCTTCCTAATCAACAAAGCAGTCTCGTCACGTTTTCCTAGTATCCCTAATTAGGAAGTAGTCTCATGTTTCTTATTTTCTCTTACTTCATATCTCCTTGCTTTGTACATGTACTTTCCCAATACAGTCCCAGTGTAGTTGTATGTACATATCAGCCCCGTATGTATGTATGTACCACACTCCAGTACTCCAGGATTCCTGTCCTGTATGACTACAATGGTGTGCAACATTACGTCGCACACCGTTGCTGGACAGTGTATACAGAGTTTGAATTATGATTAACCCCATTTTTTTCAAGTGCATTTTCATTTAGTTTCTTACTTTACTGTACAAGCGTTCCTCCACCTTTTGACCACAAGAAAAGAACAATACTTCAAAGATTCAACACCAAAGCTGTTCAATTTCTATTTCAGGAATAACATGCCTACCTTTCGTTCTTGCGTGCATTTGAACTAGGTGAATGTTTTGTCTGGTGGTTCATTCAGCAAATTTTTTGTGATTTCCGAGAATGGAAAACGTCCAGAATAAACACACTACGGTGTATACACGTGTCACACTCTGTTTGCTCTGCTGTCACCCCACAGATGGCCTGGTGGTGTGCCACCTCCCGCACGGGCCCACAGCCTCCTTCTCTCTGTCCAACACCGTCACACTCTGCTTTCTATGCAGACATCATGTGTACAAGAAGAGTGGTGCTAAAGATGTGGAATTGAAGGAAGTTGGTCCAAGATTTGAAATGAAGTGTATGTCTCTAGTTTGTACAGTGCCTTGTACAGTGCCCTCCATAATAATGTTCTCACAACTATATTATATGCCAAGTGTATAGGGACCCCATTTGTGTAACTTACACATTTTCTTGGCAAAGAACCCGAAATTGAAAACAAAAATTCATGCACATTTTTCATATTCCACAGTGCCCTGGGGTAGCGGGGGCATCACATGCATTCTGCTATTATGACTTCATCTGTTTTAGAACCTTGTGCCAATAGCAACAATTGTGGGTTACATTAACAACTCCAACTCCTCCTCCTCCTCCTCCTCCTCCTCCTCCTCCTCCTCCTCCTCCTCCTCCTCCTCCTCGTATATACCTGCAGTGTATGAGATAAAGCCGGGGACAGTGGACCAGGCTGAGGTGGACGTAGAATGGAGACTCAGACCGTTCATGAACACTGCTAAGAAGAGATACAAGCTCAATACTGAGTGACAGTTCAATCACCATCAATGTGTTCACATCATCAGAGAGTCGGTAGACTCTCTATAGCTATATAGGGACGACGCGGGTGAAATCTCACGTGATCCGCGTACAAAACGACTAAAAACTCGGTGAGAATCACTCCCTAGGCCTTCAAAACATACTAGCAATAGTCTAGAGGCCAGTACCTAGCTATACATATGCCCCAAGACTTCCTACGTGCCCTCAGTTCCCCACGAGAGAATTCGCTCTTACGCGATTTCGCGATTTTCGTGTCATCATCATAATTATTCTTCATCTTCTTCTTCAGACCCGCTAGCTCCTTACCGGAAGCAGTTGAAGCGTTGGTTTTTTCACAGAACGTCTCCAAATTTTCCGGAGGTGTGCACGCATGTCAAGCGATCGCTTGTTTCTTGCCACAAGTCACTACGGTAGATCGTTGAGCTCTTCGTCGGTAGACACTGAACAACGCCATTTGCTGCTAACTCAGCATCAGTGAGCCGCATGCGCAAAGGAGGGCGTCCAATGCGGTGCGCGCCTGGTCAACAATCGAGACTAAGCTAGCCAGGACTGGATGCCTGCAGAGAAAACTACTCTCATCCTCCAGTGCCTCCTGTAAGTCAGTGTACACATTTGTAACTGGCTAGCTTGCGTTTTGCTGTTGATTTGCACGAGGAGCAACTTGGCAATCTCCGCCGTGTTACGCGTGCCTTGCCCGGCGCCTTCATGCTATCATTGTAGTCTGATTTCTGAAGCCTGCCCAATGAAACCACCACCATATGTGCCACAACCTGCGTCCTTGTTGGAGACACTACGCATACACCCTGCTTCAGGTAAGAGCAGTCCATTAGCTTCTGCTTTCAACAGTTATCTCTACAACATAGCCATGAACATTAGAGTGACTGAAAATGCAGTGTTGTCCTAAGCTGTTAAAAATAGTGGAAACAAGTGGAAAAATCATTTCTTCAAAATGAAAGTGGGATATAGGGATGACTTGAAGCACCAAAGAGGACGAAACAAGGGGTCACACACCAAATATGCACAAAGCCACATGACACCATCCCTATATCTTTGTTTTATTGTTCATAAGCAAAGTTTAATATGAGACAAAGATATAGGCATGGTGTCATGTGGCTTTGTGCATATTTGGTGTGTAATGACCCCTTGTTTCGTCCTTTTTGGTGCTTCAAGTCATCCCTATATCCCACTTTCATTTTGAAGAAATGATTTTTCCACTTGTCATAATTCACGTTGTCAAAACTTTCATCCATTCGCTTATTCAAACGTGTATGAAAAAGGATGCATTTGTCAAGAAAAAACGGCACATGTATTGTACGAGGCTGACATCTCCTAGCTCTATATAATAGCTATATAGCTGCGGCCTCGTGTGCTCGCGACGTACGTCAGGTAGGTATGGACTAGCTAGCTATAGCTTGCATTGCGTGCCCCTCCCCTTGCACGGTCGTCGTCCGCGCTGCTCGCGCGCACACGGTAAAACGCGAGTTGAAAGTGCGTTTCATGGTCCTCTCCCTGCGCATTACTAAAGCCGAACAATGCAAGCGAAGGTTGGTTAGTTTTGAGCCAAATAGTATTCCAGAGCTATGCACGGACGAACGTGTTCGGAGGCAGTTTTCGTCGCTCTCCTGACCCTCTCAGTAGTGTGTACCACCGGCGGATCTGCGCTGACTATCACTGCGAAAGGGACTGGACCGTGTGGTATGTCGTCTATACGGCTAGCTATTATAGCCTGGTGCCAGGTGGTTGCCATTGTTTTTGTTAACCCATAACTATATACCTGGGTGTTAAGGTGTGAAGAATGCTATATCTGGGTGTATAGCTATGTGGGTGGCAAACACTTGCTATTACCCCTAATTGGTATGTTGCTAGTTTATACTAGAGGGCGCGCGTAAATTAAGGGTGTAATAACTATGACTGGGGCCACAATGTGTGAGTGGTAGACTTGTGCATGAGCACTTTGTTCCCACAGAAATTCAGACGCGTGGTGAGAGCGAGCACAATGTTACACGATTGCAGATGCTCCGGGAAGAAGAAGAGTCTAAGTACGGCTCGAACGGGATCTTTATTATCCAGGAACCCGTTGATTTCGGCTTGACAATAGTTAAAGTCAATGCCAGCGGGTACTGTACAGTTAATCAAAGAACTGAACAGCCCTTCCATCTACTTCTTGCAATATACGAGGGTCAGAGAAGGGTCGAAGTTGAAGAAGTACCGGCAGAGTGTGACAGTTCTACTAATGATACAGAAACAATTCTTTGTCATGTGCAGTTGGATACAAATAGATTTGTTCCGGCCAACCGCTCCATTGGTATACTCTTCAATCATAGATGCTCAGCAAGAGTAAACAGATGCTCATGCAGACCAGCAACACAAGACACTGGCACAGAGCAGTATACTTATAGTAACATTAGCAGCATGAAAGACAGTACATCATTGGATAACTTTGACTTCGTCGGAATGTTGGCCTCCAAATCTCATTCACTGTATGACAGTGAGGCTAGATATACAGGTAGCCGTGTTTGATGACACAGAACCAACCTCTTCTTTTTTCAAAACAGACGGATGTTCAACCGAGAGCCCTGGGTCCGATTCTCAATCCAATGATGACAACGTTACACTCCTTGCAGCAGTCATAGCTGGACTCTCTGCAGTGATGCTCTACCTTCTCCTCGCCATTTCAGCCGCACAGTTCTACAGATCAAGGAAGAAAAAGCAAACCAGTCTAGTAGGGCACTGCACTACACAGGTACATGATAATCAATCAGACTATACAATTAACACCCTCTCTCTACTTGTCAATATCAAACAGGAGCTGGCAAATATAGAGTCAGGTGATGTGGACCAAGTCTCTGTTTCAACACCGACAAAACAAAAGGTTAGCTTTTACTCTCAACTGTGTTATCCAAATATCTGTCAGTGAGTTGTATGTTGTTGCATAAAAGTATTGATTGTTGATGAGTGAGAGTTGTACAAGTATTGAGTTGGTGGGTGACACCAACCTTGCAAACGGAAGCTATACATTGGGTATTGGGGTGTTCCAATAGCTGTTAGAAGACAGTATTACTGGGTTCCAAAGCTAACATTTACACACCTAAAACCCATCACTCTAGGAATTTAGGATCCCATGAGCATGTATAGTCAAAAGTTTAGGATTCAAACCCTCGGCGAACTGCGCATGCGCGGTACCACTAATTGATGGGCTGGGCTTTATATGCCTTTGCTCGTGGTATCCAGCTAGTAGCTCGCGGAGAGTCTGGCATGGGCTAGCTACAGTAGTAGATAGCATGCGGGAGTCGATACATGCCCTTCGTTGTGACTTCTTGTGGCTAGCTTGCTGCTGATTTGTACGAGGACCAACTTGGCCGAGTCTGCGCGGTGTTACGCGAGCCTAGCGGGGCACTCACATGGGACTTCATTGTTTGTCCCCCCAGGTTGTAGCCTGATTACCAAAGCCTGCCCATGAAACCACAACCATGTGCAATACCCTAATTACATCCTTGTTGAAGACAATACATGAGGTGAATGCGGTATCAAGCCCCTGCTTCAGACATTAGCAGCCCATTAGCTACTGCTTTCATCAGTTAGAGTTTGTCTATCTATATACAACATACCCATGAACATCACAGTGACTAACGATAAAATGCAGTGTTGCCATAAGCTGTTAAAAACAGTGGAAACAAGTGGAAAAATAATTTCTTCAAAATGAAGGGGATATAGGGATGGCTTGAAGCACCAAAAAGGAAGAAACAATGGGTCATTACACAGCAAAGATGCACAAAGCTACATGACACCATCCCTATATCTTTGTTTTATTGTTTTATAAGCAAAGTTTAATATATATAGGGATGGTGTCATGTAGCTTTGTGCATCTTTGCTGTGTAATGACCCCTTGTTTCTTCCTTTTTGGTGCTTCAAGTCATCCCTATATCCCCCTTTCATTTTAGAAATGATTTTTCCACTTGTTACATTGGAACACATCTCGAGTCCTTCCATATTTGGCAAATAAGACTGAGCATAAACAGTTCGGGGACTGGGGCAGACTACCATGTTTGTGAGCATAGCTGAAATAAATGTCATGCATGGAACATTAGTGTGGATTTTACTCAAGTTCTTGTCCGCCCCAGCCCTCGGACTGTTTATGCTCAGTCTTATTTGCCAAGTATGGAAGGACTCGAGATGTGTTCCAATGTAATAATGCCATAACCAACATTTTGGAAGGGTGCGAATAATCTTCCATTTCTACTTTGGGCGCACACATGTGGTAACTTCCACAAGTGATTTCCACAGAATATGTAGCGTGCATTATGTGGTAAATTATTGGTGCACTCAACTTTTTGTACTATGTCATCTATTTCATTTTGTTCGTCCAAGCGTTGCTGTGCATGTCGTGAGTAACTTTGTTCCCAGGCCCCCCGCTCCCTCAGCCACAGATTTATGTGTAGTTATAACCTTTGACCTGTTGTAACGTTGCGGTATTATATGCTCAGCGGAGGGCTACTGACATTTGGTAACCCTCTCAGAGTCTTACTACTCCGATGCATATATACGCGCCCAACCCTGAAGCTCCTAGTGTCAAAGTGTATATATACCAAACAAATTATGTTTGTCACTCACGTAACAGCAGACTCCACCAGGTCAAGAGTCATACACATAAAAATAAAAAGCACTAAAGTGCAAACCCTCGGCGAACTGCGTATGCGCGGTAGATGGGCTGGCGGTCTCCAGCTAGTATATATAGCCCGCAGATAGTCTGACACGGGCTAGCTACGGTAGTAGATACCATGCAGGAGTCGAAACACGCCCTTCGCTGTGGCTTCTTGTGCCTCCATGGTACACAGAGCAAGCGGATCAGGTCTAGTCTGGCGTAGCCTGCCTATTTCGCGCACGCGGAAGAAATCTAGTCAGGTGTCAACGACCCGCATATACCCCTGGAATGCGGTGGTTACACACTTTTCCATGGGTGGAGTCCGGAGAACGCTCTGAGCTCCGTTACCAGCGGTACACTACTAACCCTGATCTTTGACGATGGGTTGCACCAGTGCAGTCGACAAGGAACTCTCTCAAGCATTTGCCGTATTAGCGTAGCTCACAAAAGCGTCAGAAGGCAACAACTAAACTATGACGTAACCGCGCATACTGATTACATTCCACGCCGTTCTGCAATCTAATTGGACTGCAACTATAGTTGCAGAGGGTACGAGTCATTGATGCTAACGACACCTGACTATTTCTTCCGCGTGCGTGAAATAGGCAGGCTACACCAGACTAGATCAGGTCGAGGTGAGCCAGCATACTGTGTTGATCACATCTAATATACGCGCACCGCTTATTGATGGGTTGGGCCACGAAACGCGGTCCGCGACCGTGCCAGTTTGTCGCTCTCGAACGCAGTCATTTCAGGAAAATCGCCCGTTTAATTTTCAGGCTCACGTAGTTCTGAAGCCGCTGGTATTGCTAATGGGCCGCCTCGTAACCTGTAGTGCCAGAATAAGCGTCGACACACAAACAGACACACAGACAACTACCGTAACGCTCGCTGCGCGTGCACGCCGAGGGTTAATTACAGCAACAGTTGCTACATCTACAGTTGCTGGATTGACTCTTGTAGTGCGTACAACAGTAATGTTAATTTTAATTGTCTTGTTGAAGAAAACAAACCGACGAAGGAAAGAAGACCACATTTTTGAAGGGTAAGTTATACATAGCATGAATCTGAACTACACCATATTAAATTTAATCTGCAAACTACAGCCCCAAAAATACAAACACCACACTATAGGATCTTGCATTATTAGTGCAAGTAAGATGTAGTCGCTTACCCACTCCCCCTGCACATGTAGGAAATCATGAGCATATTATGTAATCTGCTAATAATGAAATTCAATGTGCAGAAAATTATTCTTTCCTGGATGTGCTGGAACTATGAATGTAATGTCACTTACTTGTGGTACAGCTTAATGTTTTTTTGTTGGGGTTTTAGTCATTGCCTGAGTTAGCCCAGAAAGACAAGCCAGTCCATGCAAATCCTAATAGAATACATTAAGCTATTGTTAGTGAACTCCACTCCATTGAATTTTCAGAGAGCTGGCTACAACAAGACCCCTACCAGAGCTCCCTCCCTCTCCGTCTCCTCCCCCACCAGTGAATCTGGTTCATCAACTGCAGAAGGAGCTAGTACTTAAGAACATGCTCTACCTGAAACACCAGTTGCATCTTAGTAAAGTCATTGGTGAAGGTAAAGAGATGACAATGTGAGGTTTTCAGAATATTGCCTACACATTTATTACCTGATCTCTCTCTCAACATTATTTACCCACCTCTAATGTGCCTTGAGAGCACCTTCATTTTTCAAGGTTAATCCCCATGACGTAGTTTACACTGTTTAATGCCTATGCACTATAAGTGCTTC